ACGTGAGAATATGTGTGTAGGTAGTGAGTAATTGATCTGCAGTCAGAGAGTATTATTGAAGTTCGTTATAGCGTTTGTTTTAGCGCAAATGTTGAAATCAAGTGTATCGTAAAGTTATATTCAGAAAGAATAAACCAGTTTTATTAACTAAGGACTTGTGTCACTAAAGTTTCGTCGGAACGAAGTTACGGAAAGTTAATTAACAAACGGAGACGTAACAATATGTATGTATACAACCAAAACAACTCCTACAAATATTGCCATCAATTTCTTGAAACAACTGGTAGGATGGGGATGAATGGCGGACATGATGATGACTAGATGTCCAAGTCCGTTTCACCTGGTTACTTTCATGCCATCCTTTGCTTGCGTATTAGCATGTAAAAATGTGTCACATAAAAAACCACATCCGTTGCTTGCGTATTAATATGTAAAAATGTGTCAAATAAAACACCCTTTTCTTGCGTATTAGCATGTAAAAATGTGTCAAATAAAACACTCTTTTCTTGCGTATTAGCATGTAAAAATGTGTCATAAAACACATCCGTTGCTTGCGTATTAACATGTAAAAATGTGTCAAATAAAACACCCTTTTCTTGCGTATTAGCATGTAAAAATGTGTCAAATAAAACACCCTTTTCTTGCGTATTAGCATGTAAAAATGTGTCAAATAAAACACCCTTTTCTTGCGTATTAATATGTAAAAATGTGTCATAAAACACATCCATTGCTTCCGTATTAACATGTAAAAATGTGTCACATAAAATACCCTTTTCTTGCGTATTAGCATGTAAAAATGTGTCACATAAACACCACATCAGTTGCTTGCATACTAACATGTAAAAATGTGTCACATAAAATACCCTTTTCTTGCGTATTAATATGTAAAAATGTGTCATAAAACACATCCGTTGCTTGCGTATTAACATGTAAAAATGTGTCACACAAAAACACATCCGTTGCTTGCGTATTAACATGTAAAAATGTGTCATATAAAAAACGTTATTGATCCGTCTTAATAGCCCCCCTCCAAGTGGCACAGCGGTATGTCTGCAGACTTACAACGCTAGAATCCGGGTTTCGACCCACGTGGTGGGCACAGCACAGATAGCACATTGTGTGACTTTGTGCTTAATTACAAACAACAACAAAAAAACCGTTTCAACGTTTTATCAAAAGAATAATGTTTAATACAAATACACTTGATCATAACCAGCTGCAAAGACGAGTCAGCTGACATTTGTAACCTGACCAGTGTGCTGGTAATCAGCCTTAGGGAACTTGTATGTAGTACGAACTGGACGTAAAGGCCCGAAGAGTTCTGGATTAAACGAAATGCGTCGTTGGCAACGGCTATGACAAATATAGTGTGGTTGGAATACTACTATTATACATACTTCTAATTCTTGAAAATCCGTAAGGGACTGGATTAGGAATGTAGGGTTAAAAATGTAATAGGCCTAACATAATGTCTTATGACAAGTATAATTAATGCTAAAAGCATCCTGCAATAATAACGTTATCGGTGTTTTAGGGTAAAAGTTGGTAACATCACTATTCTGGTTAATTTTGGGGTGCTGATTTCGAAACTCCATGTTACCAGGTCGGTAAAGGATGATTACATCGTGGAAAGGCATAATTTACATATAGACGTTAAATCGTTTGTTTTTCTACTTCTCACATAACATTTGTTGGCAACATAAACGTGTGTGATGTCAAATAACTAGAAATAATATCTTCTGTGTACCATATACGTGAATACTTGTTAATAGCAACATTTTGTTACAATTTGTACTTATAAAGAGTCATAGATATGATTCTAAAAGTTCTTATAATTTTATCAACGTGGAAAATCTTAAGACTAATTGTATTTCTATGTTGTTAGGGCTAGGAAAATCTTAAAACTAATTGTATTTCTATGTTGTTAGGGCTAGGAAAATCTTAAGACTAATTGTATTTCTATGTTGTTAGGGCTAGGAAAATCTTAAGACTAATTGTATTTCTATGTTGTTAGGGCTAGGAAAATCTTAAGACTAACTGTATTTCTATGTTGTTAGGGCTAGGAAAATCTTAAGACTAATTGTATTTCTATGTTGTTAGGGCTAGGAAAATCTTAAGACTAACTGTATTTCTATGTTGTTAGCGCTAGGAAAATCTTAAGACTAATTGTATTTCTATGTTGTTAGGGCTAGGAAAATCTTAAGACTAATTGCATTTCTATGTTGTTAGGGCTAGGGGAAGATTTCCAATGTGGTCCGAATCGATGTAACTATGACAATGTTTACATATATGATGTAGAGTATCCTAGCAACCACAGTTGGTTGGTTACACTACACAAACCAATGTACGCGATACTTTATTTTGAGAGTTTTATTCGATTCACATGGGAATATCATAGGCCCACTTACATTACATGCATTTGATGTTTTATATATTTTAATGAATAAAACGACGTAAAGAAGACATGAATGCTCAGTGTTACATATATCAATGGGCTCCTGAAATGTAAAAATAATGGATTTTTTTTTGGGGGGGGGGGCATCGGTCCAACCTCTTCCATTTCCTCTACGAAAATACGTCTTCAGTTGACTTGAAAATTTCTTAAATAAGAACCATTTGAAAATTTATAGTAGTTTTGGTCATCTAGGCGGTTTTACACTTTTGTATCCTTATGATATTCAATTCTTTTTGGCAAATTCTCAACTTTTAAAATAAAAGAACACTAAAATAAAGACCAGTCATTGGATGATTACATATATATATTTATCCAGATATTTTATGCCTTTCTATATTTTTAAGATGTTGATAAATAGTCTAACTTTACTATACAATAAGGCGTTTTTCATTTTGTTCGTTTGTTGAGAGTTTTACCCGTTTAAAAATCAAAGTGAAATATAATGAGAGAATTTAACTCC